CATGTAGCATCCTCTATGTCGTCTGCAGTTTTAAGAGGTATGTGCAAATTGACGTTATCATTGATATAATCTTGAAAGGCCTCCCAGTCGGTTTTATGATTATACAGAGTCTCCCGTGGGTCTTTCCAGATTGCTGTGGTACTCAGTACGCATATCACGGGTGTATGATCCGAGGACCCATCCAGACATGATATCACTTTTATGTAGAGCCCTGACATCTTTTTGGTGATAAAGAAGTCGATGAGATCTGGAGTTTTGTTAGGATCTGTTGGCCAGTAAGTTGGTTCTCCTGTTGATATCACATTAAGGTTATTAATATCAATTGCTTTTTTTAGTTCTCGCCCCTTTGTCGTCGTCAATCGAGAGCCCCAAAACGTATTCTTGGAGTTCCAATCTCCTCCTACAATAAATCTTTCACCGAGAGTAAGGAAGAAATCGGTATACATTCGTTCATCTATACGATGTCGTGGGGGGCAGTATACTGCAGCTATATTTAGAGATCCCTGCCAGTCATCCACAGATATAATTGCAGCCTGTATATGTGCATGTCTAAAACTTGGCGTGACGTGGTGTCTTATGTGTTCTTTGACTATCACTGCGGCCCCAGCATGTGACGTTCCATCTGGATGGTTGGCATAGTAAACATTACATCCCCTAATGTTAACAGTTCTTTGGTCAGTCATATGTGTTTCAGAGACTAGTAATATATCCAGTTTGTTAATGTTCATGAATAGTTCTAATTCCTGTTTATTCGGGGATATACCATTTATGTTCCATGCTGCAATTCGAAGAAATTTTACTTTTTCTGCTGGGCTATTAATGTCGTCAGGAGGCCCATTAGGGTCCCTATTTGTTGTATGAGAATATCTATCTTCTCCGATTGTTTTAATATGATTTGCTCTAAAGAGCTTGTTGACTGAGATTCCACGTTCTCTATTTTTCTATTCCAGATATCAGTATTTACAGTGTTAGAGATGTTACCTGGTGGGTGCAAAATAAATGACATATATATTAATAACTTGTCGTACTTATTTAAATTGGTGTTTAAAAGAAATATAATTCCATATCTTCAATGCTTACACCTGATATTCTACATGTGGACCAGAACAGATGGGTAGAGTACCACATGTACTTACGTATTTCTTTGGAATTCAACCCAGAACACGGAGCATAACAGCTGACCTTCCAACCACTGTCCCATAATTACGATAACATATTTAAATGACGATTGATATCAGCGACGGTGTTGTGTCATCGTGTGAGTGTTAGCTACGTAATCTAAATCTTTTGTTTATCATAATTATTCCAACTATGGACATTATTCGTGGGACTGTAGCTAACGGCTACGCGTATTATCAGTGATTAACAAAGGTGACATACGATCTGATATGGTTTCTGAGTTTGAAGTGCCACATACCTTGCAGTTTTCCTCAGGTTCTCTTAAAGCCCACTTCTAGGAACAAAGCCTACATTAATCCTCTTTTATAACTATTACCTATTACATTATACCATGACGACACGACTATTATTACCTAGTTAAGCTACCAATTGTTAAGTGCAAGTTAACACTCCATTATCAAAAATTTCGAAAACCGATTGAGGTTTTCAAAATTTTATTTCATGTTATGTTAGATTAGATTGTTGCTACAACAATGGCATCCATTCGAAAAGCGCGGTAATCCCTATACTTTTGGTTGGTTTTACAAGAAAAGATAAGACAATTGTATACTAATGCATTTACAACACAACGCAATAGGCTTTTGCAATACTTAAATTTATAAAACTGGTATTAAATATGTATTAATTAAAGTTAACACGTATTAATCGAATTAAAACATTTATTAATTGAATTTTTGATTTCTTGATATTTTATATAGAGACACTGAATGTTTCAAATCCGAATTATGTATTAAACTGAAAGGTGGTTCAGTTTTATGCGTAGGTAACTAGTAAGGGGCGTATGTTATGTAAATAATACCATAACGCATTCCCTATATATTTTGGAGAGCTTTTAGTCATAAATACCGAAATTGTAAAATACAAAATATTATTTAGCTATACGTTTATATTTTTTATTGAACTCGATGAACCTGGATACTTAATTGACAAATCCGTCCTTGAAACTTTATGGCCACTACCTCTAAGGCAAGAAGTCTAGTAGTTTAAGCATGGAAAGTTATTGATCCTATAATACAAAGAACAAATACATTCACTCTCTCAGAGTGTCCGATAATAAGAGTATGTTAAACTTTTACAAATCAAAATCCGAATAGTTGAGCAAGGAGGTTCCTTGCTCAACAATTTCGATAGTTAATACGTAAAATCCAAAGAGGCACAAAATGTACATAATATAGGTAGTTGTATGTACTTTTGTACCTATCATAACGTTAAGTAATTAACAATTAGTTATAACGTTTACTAGAAGCCTCTATCTAATAATATCAGGTAGCCATATTCTGTACATACCATATCATTCTAATATCTAACAGTATTTTATCTAAGATCTTTATCATGAACGGTTTTTTTACTAGTAATACTAGCGCCGATGTTGTGATAATTACCAATTATTTCAATGTTACACATAGAATAAGTTGCTATGCTAACTACACATATTAAAGGCTCTTCTAAACGGGCGATATGTGGATGCAACCTGCAACACAGTGGCCGGCAACATTGTAAACATATCAACCAGATTATGCAACATGGCAGTCCTATATATAAAATGGTCAATATGGCTGCACCATTAATTAATAAATGTTGAATACATTGAATACATTATCATCCCTACTCCTTCTCCCCCTTACTACACTTTTAATATATTCAGGGTAAATGCGCTCCTTGATAAACAAGAACCTTTTAACAGTCATCTTAGAACCACCTACCACCAGTGTGGAGATTTTTTATGGGATAAGCCGGTAAACTTGCAGACGGATCACCTGATGGTAAGCAATCGGCATCGCCCATGGACACCTGGAAGACAAGGGATGTTACCGGCCTTTTAGGGGTTATGAATTTGAAGATTGTTGGGGATTTCGGGATTAGAGATATTGGGGTGGGAGGAGGTACGGTAATCGGGCCTCCCGTAACCTCACCAACACGATGAAACACAACGCAAGCGTTGTTTCACGTCGGTGTTCTGTAAGACCGTGGTATCACTCCGTTCGAGCCGACCCATTCGAACCGAAACATGGCTCTCCCACACTTAAACCATATTAACACAGACAGATTTTGTCAAATAATGCTGGCTTGATGATAGTGTAGCCACATAATGTAAAAAACATCGCTCGTTTAGAAGCCCATTTATGTATAGTAAGTTATGTAAATCATCACAAGAGTCGCGACCGGTATAATTGTAGTATTTTCCACTATTTACCTGCTGCGCAAGGAAATGTCAGCCGGAAGAACCTTCGTACCTTCTTTATATACTAGGTTTACGTTACATATGTATTTTTACTATATTTGGGGGCTAATAATTACGAGTAAGATCAAAACAGTTCTATTTTTAAGATGCAGTAGCAAAATAGATAAAAGAATTGTCCTTCATAAATAATAGAAAACTATTAATTTAAAAAAAATGTTTAGGTACTCTCGTATGAAAAATAAAAAAAACCGTCTCAGTCATTTGACGACGTACTTAGGTACAAAATATTGTGTTAATATTTGAAATAATACATATAAAGATTACTCACAAAGTAACGTTAAAAACATGTACAAACAAGTACATACCTTCTACCAACATTTGATGCACGATTTATGAATACACAATACATAAATGTGTATATAGCATGACATATAACACACAAACTAAGTAAGTATCTTACAACATATTGTCTGACTCTATACAATATTGTTCTTCTCCACGATTTACTGTCATTCTCAATGGCACGCCATAGCAAAATGATTTCAAATAAAACGATGACATTTAGAGTTCAAGTCTAATAACATGATAAGTACTAAAAGTGTTCAGTTTTAATAAAAAATAATAATAACTTTGAATTATTTTTACTAAACTTACTAACTGAGAAGAAATATTTCATTCAAGTACATAAACATTGATGTCTCGTGATTTGATAGAACACGGCAGCCCTGTTGGGACCATAGCAATCACCCCACGATTACGTTTATTGAGTCGAGAGAATTAAAAGCTGCCGAATTACCAGAAACCGGGCTACTGAGAGTAATTTTATTAAAAAAAAACACGAGAACGTTTCATGTTTACAAAGATTTTGGTCTTTGGAAATTAAAGTTAAGGTGTATATGTACTGACTTTCAAAATTATGCCTGTGCTGTGTATCTTCCTCAATTAATTAAGAAGTCGGATAAGGGTAAAGTAACCCAAATAAAACTTACAAGTCCCTAACCAAACGTTCGTGACACGAATTTAAAGTACTGGCTAATACGAGTTGTGCGATTTTGACGATTTGTCAGCCTTTAGTGGGTCAGTGTCAGGTAACCCGTCCATATATTTATTCAAATTTAAATTTATGTATTTAGAGATGAGTCGAGATCGTAAATTATGAGAATTACATAAAATACTAAATTTAAATTACAGAAATCGACATAAATTAATTTTTAACTAATTTAGAGTAAATTATTAAGTCACAAATTTAAATGACTGTAATTAATAATAATGTAACAACCAATTTAGTACCTAATTTTTGTGACCTTAAAAAATATGAATGGGCACATAATCACATCAAAAATGCATAAGTTAATAGACGTAGAAAGGTTGGCCTTAAAGTTATGCTCAGCTCAAGTTATTTCAAGGTAAAAGTCTAAAACAAATCGGACGTTCAACTAACAAAGTTGGATCAGTTAGCAAGGTTGCGTCGGGTTAAGTGGTGCAGTCAATTTGACGACTTTCCGAAAACTTTGTATTTTGTATGTAGCCAAAATATAGACATGTGTCGGTTTTTTAATTAGGTATAGAGATTACAGAAGAAATCTGTCATCGAGGACAAGCGACGCTTGATACGTATTTGTATATAAAAATGGCGAATGGCGAATGAAAATGTCACTACGTCTCACTCGTGTGCGGCAGGTGTGCGTTGCCTAGCCGGCTACTAAACTAGTCCACTGCCTGTCTCAATACCGATCAGCTGATTGTTTCGTAAACAAATCAAGTGAAAACTGTGAAAATGGTGAGAAGGTTTTTTATTTATTTCTATGTTGTTAACAGCCCTCGGAAGATCCAGTTCAACGGTTCATGAGGTACCACTTTAATATTTTGTGAGCTTTTTTGAATATAGCGTTAATAACTGAAAGTGCATTCAAACATTTTTTTAAGAAAACTTAATCCTAACATAATGCATTACTTTAATCGATCAATCAATTAATTTATACTACCGCGCCCAAAAAAAAAACGAATGATAAAATTATGACCTGTAATTTTCGGTAAAAACTTTTTAGTTAAGCATAATATAAGTTCTTACTAACAGATAAAGGACATTTTGTGTAGCAAATCAGTGTAATTACCTACGTGAATATTTAGATTTTGTTTGCAAACACAAACAAACAACAGGTTATATGAACGGGAACGTGTCCAAAAAACATCATTGTATAACATTATTCACCCGATATTATAAAGAGTGAAACATAACATATTGTAGATAAAATATTTTGTCTGATAGTGATAGTGAATTGAAAACAAAAATTATCCTTCAACTAAAATTAAAAAGGCAATAATAGAGAGTTATTAGATTTTCTAAGTCCCTTTCGTATATGGGAAAGTGAATTGTTAGCTAATTATGTAGGTACATATGTTAGCTATTCATAAACCGTAAGAACCTTGGTAATGATTCGCCCGTCATTACCACGGTCGTGTGCAACTGCCCGCGTCGCGCACATTACACGTTGTTACAATTGCATACAAAGCCGAAACACACGAACAATAACAAGAACAATGTGCGAATATTAATCAAAACCGACTTTGTATTCAAGATAATAAAATCGAAAAGAAGATCTGAAAAAAAATTATGTATTTTATAAATAGTGTCCTTGATTTTGTTATATTGAATAAGGCTCTATGTAAGTAAAAAATGAAGCAAACGAATACTTAGTTCGATATAAAGTTGTACTACAATGTTTACACTACATAGATTTCCACTTGAAAACAAATTGTTCATTCTTATTTTATTGACGCATCAGTAGATTATTTGATTACCAATTTCAAATCATTTCCAAGGCTAATAAAGTTGAACTTTGAATGATAGATATACAATATTGATGACCGTACAACGTTGTACCTGTATCTATTTACTGATGTCTCTTATCGATTAATATTTTTCCCGGATTCAAACTCATGAGCATAGCCAACACTGATAAATATATTCTATTATACGTGTATACAATATACATACATACGTAATAAATTACTTATTTCAATAATCTCACAATAATATTATAAGTATATCTACTTAGTCATTTAAATTATTATTTTATACAGATAAATTTGATATCTATCTTTAATTTAATAGTCTGGATAATATTTTCTTTAGTATAGTATTATTTACCTCAAAAATTGTTTTTATAAGGACTTAATAACTTTTGTAAATTCTATACAACCTGATGACATTACAGTCAATTCAAATAAATAAAATTAGCACTAGCACGCGACAAAAACACTTATCGATCCTTTAGATAGGGTAAATATTTATTGGTTTACTCAAAATACTTACATCCTTGACTGAATATTAATCAGTTGATTAAGATTTATCGATCTTAATTACCCCTAAAATTAAATGATGAGGCTTTATTTATCGCTAGCTATCGGTTATTTTGATATCGATTTACATAGGTTACATGATAGTAATGTTGCCTAAACAAAACTTTTTGAACGCCTGGACTATGGCAATAAATATTACGAACTTTATTTTCTTGTACATTCATGTTATTTCACGAATGGACAGACAATGAGGTAGGTAGGTACTTGTAGAGCATCCACTTTAAACTTTTAGTACCTACATATATTTTCTATAATACCGGTTTGGTAGTATATTATTATCGAACATCATAATTCCATACTTTGGATACTGAGAACTTAGAAATAATAAAAATATTTGCCTAAATGACCGACAAGGCAGTAATAACAATAAATAATATCATATCTTCTAATTGTTGGCTAGATATTGATTTCTGATCTAGTTTTTATCGTATTACACGCATAATATACTAACACAAAAGCCTGACATGATTGTTTTTATCAACGGAAATATTATAGTACATTCAGGATGCGACAATTAATCGATATTTCGATATCTCGCGTGCCTAAGTTAACAAGGAAAAATGTCGAAGGAAAAATTTATGCCTGTTTTCTTCACGAGCTTCTTGGATATACCTAGCGGTATTTTTCCTGTAGATATCGATACAATATCACGATTAATTAATTATTTTATGATTATCTATTGTAATAGCATTCCTAAACATGTCAACAACGTCTGTTTTAATGACCGTTTATAAAATTTTCGGTTATAAAAGTTTCGGTTGTCGTGTTGTGATAAGTCGATATCTGTCAGATCACTTAATATAACCTTAACTTTGGAAGAACTAGAGCTGTTTAATGGACAGAAGCAGGTAAATTCCCGGTGACCAAAACATTATAAAAATTTAATTAGTTCGATTTAATCTCTTAACTTTCACATTGTTTTATTTTTAATTGGGGAAGTCACATAACATGCAAATTGCATTAAATTATTATTATTTAATAATATCTACATAGATAAGTAGATAATAATATTGTTGCAAACTTTAAGGTCAAAACTTTAATTTTGTTTTAAATGTGCATCCTTTTGACGCGTGCTAAATTATGGGTAGTAATTTGTCCTTACTGAAAATATTAAATCTACTGCCTAAAATACTAACTTTCCGACTACTTTACATGACTGTTTATTGTTACAATATTAACCTAACCTAACCTAAAACGTCTGTTGTCGGTAACATACCTAGTAATTTTGTCGGAGGTTCAATATTCTATTCGGAAGTTTAGTTTTGTTATTCGAAGATCCGTTTTTATAGTCGGCCACAGATCGCTATGCAGATTAATTTGTTTTTCGGAACCATTATTATTTTTCTTAAATTATAACCAAATCTGATAGCCCTTAAATTGTCGAGTCTTAAAAAGAGCTTTGAAATTCCAGTTTCAATTAAAACGTTATTTATGACATATCAACGATAGATTGACGGGCAATAAATTAATTAAATAACTTTGACAAAAAACCGTTTGAAACGATACTTAATCCATATTGTACTTGTTAATTTTTATAACCCTCTTTGATGTAATCTTAATACCATAAATAATGAAGAAGGATTAGATAGTGTATCGTTAACATAGATATGGAATCTTCGGCAATGTTTTTATGTACAATACGATATGATATTATATGACCACTGGACACGTGATCATAATTAGCTAATCAAAACTAAAATGCAATTACATCCTGCCGATATGCCTGCTAAAAATGTTGCTGACTAAATTTAATGCATATAAGCATTACTGTGCTGAAAAGTATTCTTGATCCTGTTTAGAATTCATAAGTTCAATAAGTTTCGATCATTTAAGGAAGTCTAAAATGAATATATTTGATTTTGTACTGCTCTGGAATCAGATAGCTCTAAAGCTCACAGCCCCCTTTTATAGTTTATTATAAAATATATTTTGAATCGTTTGACTCGATCTAATTTGATTCGTAGTTAATACCTTCAGAAATCACAATTTGGATAAAAATTATATCACATTTGTTTGATATTTTAACCCTAGGGGAGGATGTGTTACATGCCATAGAAGGTGGAAAACTGGAGGCCGCGATGTAAGACTCCAGCTCAAAACAAAGAAAGTTTTGGGTTAAATACATATTTTTTTCAAATATTTCGTAATCAAAATAATCATGTATCCGTACCTACATATCTATGTACATTGTTGTACATTATACATTGACGTAGAATACTGACTCAGTACTTGCTCACATTTAAACAATCGAGGCCATTGTTATCAGATCTATTAGGTAGCCACCTAGATAAAAAAACATGAAAATTATTCATGTTATTCAAGGAGTTTCAACAAATTAAAACAGGTACTGAATAAAATCAGTAAGATCGTGTCAATAACGACTTGTTTACTAAGCAAGTATTTTACATTGATCTAGGTTAATGAAATTTCTACTATTTACTAGGAAAAAATCATCATTCGAAACGATTAGACAGCTGAAATCAATTTATTAATTACTTAGATATGTTTTATCTAAGAAATGTCTTGGAAAGTTTACATGTTACTAACCTACGCAAGTGAATATGTATGTGATAATAGAAATTGCCACGTGCGCTTATGAAAACGTGTAAGATTAAGGAGGCTATTTGAATAATTATCGAATATTGTATCTCTATGTCATTGCCCTGATCGCTAAATCTCATATCTAACCTTTCGTATGAAATATACCTATGTAAGAAGATTAATTACAGGTAGGCACTCACAATTACTTAAAGATTAAAGACATACACGTAATTAAAATAATAAATACGTGACTGTAATAAATAAAGCTCATTACACCACTACGAATGAGTCATTATCAAAATATGAATTTTAAAACTTTCACGTGGGTTTTTCCCAATCAGATTAGGATCGATATCGCACGAGGACAAGTCAAGTCAAGTCGAGGCATTTAAGTGCAAGTCAAGTGCTAATTAATCCTTAATTAGGCACTGCTGAAATGTCACAAATTTATTTAGGTTGCATAGTAGTTCGATAAAGACATTTACATTTACCTTTCACAACCTTGAGGTAATACGATATTTGATTAAATATTACGAGCATAAAACGTAGCATGTTTTCTAAAGTGTGAAATGAAAATATTCGCACATCCATAGTAGGTACGCTATGACCATTCAGGATTAACGCTGAGGGCGATCAACCGTTCTTTACCTTAGGTATAAATACATGAAAGGCACCTTTCTCGAGAGTAATGTATCTTCTTTGTTTCGCTCAAAGCAATGCTAATGAACAAAAGATGATAGTGTGACGGTTATTCGCCATTATCATGCAAACCTTTTAAGCAATTAATAACATAAGATGTAAAATCTAGAACTGCAAGATCAATTTTATTTTTCGTTTGTTGTCTTGTATCAGTTTCCACGCACATTTAGTTCGAAAAATTAGCAATTAAAAGTAAGCGAAAGACGTGTACTGGAACCTCAATTTACAAAAGCTATTTACTTAGTGGTACCTAATACGACAATGGATCATTACTAAAATAATCCTCTCCATTAAATATTGCCTAATGATAAATAGCTTACACCTTCGTAAGGTGCAAAGAAAAGGCTTATCAAATTGCATTTATTAAGTAAATACGCAGTTTATATTTTGGGGGACATTTTATTTATATATTATCTTTATACTACCATTTTAAAACCACGTGATTAACTTGTTATTTAATCATTTCAGAGCGGTGAAAATAATAATGCGTTTGACGCATCACCGGAAGATGGGAAGGCGGCGACTCTCAACGACAAGTCCCTTGTCAATGAAGCGGATGACAAAAATGTAATTATGCAATCCTATACTTTATAATAAAATTGAAATTCGATTTATATATAGCCATAGTTTATCACGCGAAGCACGGGTCCAGTTGCTGTATACACACAAATTATGCAATAGTGCCAGGGCTCTCTTATTGAAAATCTATTCGTACTTAGATACATTCAAGAATATTTTTTATGCATTTACAATAAGGATTTAATTACATTCATATAAAGATGTGTTATTGAATTTTATTGCTCTTATTTCTTATAATCGTATATTAAGATTGGTTTATTACTATTTTTAAGTACTTCCCTCTATATATGTTTCAAGATAAGATAGTACAATCTCTTTAGCATTCTTAAGAATGACCAATAGTCAGGTGAAACGCCTTACTTTACTTACTGACTTATCCAAATACACCCATTACAAACATTGTAAACTCATTGCAAACGTGTTTTTGTTGAAAACAGAATAGAATTATCTTTCCTTAAAGTACATTATCCTCATTTGATTATATTCAATACGTATACACGACCCACTGCATAACATGTAGTTACTCTCTATCTAAGTAGGTTCCTGTCGTAAGCACTAAGCGGTGATCTGACACTATTGCAGACACCGTATAATTACAATTTTGAGATCTAAAAAACATAACTCGAAGGCATGTGGCCTTGTAGGTAGGTTTAAGAGATAGTAAAAAAACAGTTAATGGCTATACAGTCTAAAATCGATTTCAAAATCTCCATGTAGAGGTAATAATATGTCATAATAGTATCCAACTGAGTTAGTATAGTTAAGATATTATTGATGCATAAAATTAATAGAAAATCGTATTTAATTTTCAGCCTGATAAAAAGGGTGAACCAGAGCGAGCAGTATGGGGGAATCAAATTGAGTTCCTCATGTCCTGTATCGCCACTTCGGTCGGTCTCGGCAACGTGTGGCGATTCCCCTTCATCGCCTATCAGAATGGAGGCGGCGCCTTCCTTATTCCTTACATCATCGTACTTTTACTCATAGGAAAACCCATGTACTACTTGGAGTGTGTCTTGGGACAATTTAGCTCAAAGAACTCAGTCACCGTCTGGTCACTGTCACCAGCTATGAAAGGTGCGTTCAACTAATACCTAATTTTAAATATTTTAGTAGGTATTTAACAGTTTCTTTACCTCTACATACCGCACTCAAATTGTAAAGTAATCTGCTCTATTATTTTTTGTTCTAAAATGTTCAGCACATTATGCATTAATATCTAACTTTGCCTCATGATCTTCTCTTATAAATAGCTAATTAAAGCAGAATTAATATTATTATTATCTAATTTAACAATTCCAGGTGGTGGTTACGCCACAGCTTTGGGTTGTGGATACATTCTGTCGTACTACGTGTCCATTGTGGCACTTTGTCTGTACTACTTGGCCATGAGCTTCCTACCGACTCTACCATGGAGTGTTTGTCAGGATGACTGGGACGACTGCCTGCCCTCAGATCCAGATCAACCTGTGGGAAACCTTACGGAAAAAGCTTCAAGTAGCGCTGAGTTATATTTTATGTACGTAATTTTAAACCCTATTAAAAGTAATTAGCTTTGGATAGGACCGAAGCGCAACAGGTTCCCTAATGGCGACCACGTACCGGTCAACGAAAGCAGAACGTTAATACATAAATCTGATAACGGTCACAGGGTTATTTCCAAGTGGCCAATCTAGAAGTCATTATTGGAAGAAGTTTACTCATTATACAATGTTCAGCAGTAATCAATCTTGTATGTAATACGATATAATATCTTATTTTACATTCACAACTTAATTGATTTTGTAGTAATGCAATGTCAACATATTGTACCAAATTTTTTATTTTTTATTTGAACAGTTCCCAATGACAAGCTCGAGCACCGTTTTATTGAACCTATCAAATTTGAAGTGTAAAGAAAGTTATAATAAAATGTAATATGACATAAATTACATTTGATTATTTATATTTACAGTAAGACCGTGCTGCAGCAAAAAGATGGCATTGAAGGTGGACTCGGTAAGTCTTATTTTTAGAACTAAAGTAGAAGACATGTATTTTAGATGCAATTTTCAAATAAATTTAAAATTATTTAAATAGAATCACATAATTAATAAGTTATTATTTTGTTTCCAGGTCTCCCTATCTGGTACCTGACGTTGTGCCTTTTCGGTTCGTGGTTTATCATCTTCGTGATTGTGTCCCGAGGTGTAAAGAGTTCCGGTAAAGCTGCATACTTCTTGGCTCTCTTCCCCTACGTTGTGATGCTCATTTTGCTTATAACGTAAGTTTGCCCAATATTCTTAAACATTCATGTCATTTATTACAAGTATGAATACTTTTACTACCTCATTGGCCAGTGACAGCCCAACAAGCTCTTGAATTCAAATCCCTCATCGAGCTTCCGGCTTTCAAAATAGCATAGAAGCTGGAATTATTCCCAGAATACGACAATAATTTGGTAACAATTAAATGGAACTTATATTATAACTCATAGAACATAAATTTTACGCATAGACCCGAAACGAAAGTTAAAGTAATTCTAACCCGCGACACGTTACTCACCGCAGGTCTATCAGGAGAATATATTATGTGCTGATTATGTAATTTTAATGAAACTACAATTTGAAATATTTTTGTAACATTTCCCATTTCAGCACCTCTACTCTGCCCGGAGCCGGTACCGGTATTCTTTTCTTCCTGACGCCACAGTGGGACAAACTTATAGAGCTTGATGTAAGTATCATTCTTGATTAGTATTATCCACTAACTTTTTACCAACAGCTTCGTTGAAGATTTTCGCGTCAAATTTAGGACATTTCTCTCGAGTTGGTCTCGATGCTCCATAAATATCATAAAGAAGTGACCTGATACAGAATCTTTAAAATTGGTCCAGTAGTTTTAGAGATTCGCTATAAAACTTCCCAGATCATCTTTATGATATTAGTATAAATTACATTGGCGGGAGCAGTCTACACTATGTACTAAGTATAATAGTATTTTTCAATCTGTGTCCATTGTTGGCAATTTTTGTTACTATACTTACTTAAAGCATGTCTTTTTTATTTCAGGTGTGGTACGCTGCCGTGACCCAAGTGTTCTTCTCCTTGTCAGTGTGCACCGGTGCCATCATTATGTTCTCTTCTTACAATGGCTTCAGACAAAACGTTTACAGGTATAGTTAATTTTTACACACAACATTCTCGGCTTATTTTAAGCTCTAAAACTATTAAGCTCATTTTTAACTATTAAAATATATATTTATTAAACCTATTAATTTTTCAAATGAGATACGGTTAACTACATATAAAAACTTGCCTAATTAACTAAATATAGCTTTTTCCTAAAAGTACATTAATGGTAAGTTATACCGCACACAATAGAATAAATAACTTACAGAACGTACAATACAGCCTACCAACGAAATTGACAATACAATGTCTATGTTTTTGTAATAACTATCCTGAGATGCGGAATTATTTAAAACCTACGAATTACTCACGTAAATATACTGAGAAAAGCTCTACTGTTTTCGAGTCACAGGGGGCCCTTCTTCATGATATATTGGGATCGTCGTGGCGATTCCCGTAGGCTGCGCGCGGCTATCTCACTATGACTCAAAACTAGTAGAGCTTTTCTCAGTATATTTACGTGAGTAACTCGTAATGTTTAGTTAATACTAGTACAATCAATGTCTGAGTACGACTTCATCGTTCTAATATTGTTATTTTTCCATGATTGCAGAGACGCAATGATTGTCACGACTTTGGACACTTTCACTAGTTTACTGTCCGGTTTTACGATCTTCGGTATCCTGGGTAACTTAGCGCACGAGTTGAACACCGAAGTCGCAAATGTCACTGGTTCTGCAGGAACTGGACTTGCCTTCATTTCTTACCCTGACGCGATCTCCAAAACTTTCCAGCCACAGGTATATCTTTGATAACAGTATCGATACTTTATTATAAAGCCGTTTGCTACTTTAAAGCCACATACAAATATATTCAGAGAAAGAATTCTCTAATACATTTAATTGCAAGATTTCACTTTACACACATACATATAGATTTTTTTTTATGGCATAAGCCGGTAAACGAAGAGACGGATCACCTGATGGTAAGCAATCGGCGTCGCCCATGGACACCTGGAACACCAGAGGCGTTACAAGTGCGTTACCGGTCTTTTGGGGATTAGGAGTTTGAGGATCGTTGGGGATTCAGGAATTGGGGAGATTGTGGAAGGGGAGGGTAACTGGGCCTCCAGTAACCTCACTCACACAACGAAATACAACGCAAGCGTTGCTTGACATTGGTTTTCTGTGAGGCCGTGGTATCACTCCGGTCGAGCCGGCCCATTCGTGTCGAAGCATGGCTCACCCACACTTAAATGTATACTTACTCATATGCATTTTATTTTAATTTAACGATTTTTTTTCAGTTGTTCGCAGTGCTGTTCTTCTTGATGATGACGGTTCTGGGTATTGGGTCAGCAGTAGCCTTACTTTCCACCATCAACACTGTGATGTTGGACGCGTTCCCTCGCATCAAGACTATCTACATGTCTGCCTTCTGTTGCACTATTGGATTTGGCGTCGGTCTCATTTATGTTACACCTGTAAGTTTCACGCTATTTTGTACTTTATTAGTTCACTATGTCATCGTTCCTGACTCTCCCCATCATAAACAGAATTATTGAACCGAATTCATTTCAGTATTTTACATGCAGTAACAGAAATGCCATCGAATTTTCTCAAGAAATATATGCAACCTCAATCATCTAAACTCACTAATGATAATAAATGGTTCTTTTCACATTACAGGGTGGCCAGTACATACTTGAATTGGTGGATCACTTCGGTGGAACCTTCCTTATTCTCTTCTGTGCTATTTCCGAAATTATTGGAGTGTTCTGGATTTACGGTATGAGATTCTTCTGTATAACTAATTACATTACATTTGTCCTTTTTAATAGCACATAAGTATATACATACCTATCGTATGTGATGTTTTTTACATGATTATATTAACACATTGTTTGTATTCTATAGGTTTGGAGAACTTATGCCTGGATATTGAGTACATGTTGGGTGCTAAAACTTCATTCTACTGGAGATTATGTTGGGGTGCCATTATGCCTGCCATGATGATAGTCGTGTTCGTATACGCGTTGGCTACTTCTGAAACTCTTAAATTCGGTGAAGATTATTACTACCCAACGGCTGGATATGGTGAGTATTTTTATTTCATTTAAGTGCGTTTAAACTCATTTCAATAGTACTTTAATTTATATAGCAAAAACAAATTATAGATTCACTTATTTCATTGGATTTGTTTCATTCAATTACTTACGGGTAGGTAGTAATAATTACCTACGTGGGAAATTGTAAATCTACTTCTTCAATGCAATCCTTATAAAACATTGTTATAAAAATCTTAATTTTGTAATTAGGTTTTAGGTTTACCCTAATTTTGTAATTAGGTTGTTTACATTAATAATAATACTTCAGCTCTCTGAAGAAATAAAAACCTAAGAAGATACACATTTCTGTTAAATATAACTGTAACACGTTATTATTTTTCCAGTGGCCGGATACATGATGCTGTTCGTCGGTGTAGCATTCGTGCCGATCTCAATCGGTCTGACCATGTACAAATACAGAACTGGAAACTGCGTGGAGGTACTTTAATTTCATTTACATTTAATTATTTATTTATATATGTATATATTAATATTTTATTGTACACCACATAAACATATAGAACAACATAAAAATATAGTGTACAATGGGCGGCCATATCGCACTAGGCGATCTCTTAAAGGATTAACAGCTATAAGCTCAAAGGTTGTCTGATATACCAATATCGTCATCTAGTGTACATTTACAATTAACACACAAAAACCAAAATCATATTAAAAAAGTAAAATTATAAAGACAAAACTAATACTAATAAACAAAAATAAAGGTTTTTTGATGTTAAGGAAGACAAATCATTTATTTTATTTATATCTTTTTCCAGACGGCCAAGCGGTCCTTCCGCCCCAAGGAATCATGGGGACCTCGTGAGGAATTCGAACGCCTCAACTGGATCGAGTTCAGAAAAGAAGCAGAAGCTGCGAGAGCTCAGATAAGAACGTCTTGGTTCCAACATATCCGATACAGTCTCTTCGGCGGCTACAGAAGATAATTATTATTACCAACCTCCAAACTCTAGCTCTAGAACTAACTATAGATGTAATGTAGTAATAATGACTTACCATGTACCTTACACCTATGTGATGACGTTGTCATCGACTTAGTTTACCAACAATTGCCAAAATACTTATTTATATTTTTAATAAATTATTAAATACTTATGTTAATGTCAGGGTATTTATTAAGTTAATGTTGTAAACCTTTTGTATTATATGAAAAAATATATTTTTTATGAAAGATATACTTATTGCTTAATTTTAATATGTTACAATATTCCTTAAATTTAAAATGAAGACTTACATATTTGTGGGCCATTTCTCTGTGCAATAAAATAGATTATTAATGACTTTTCTCTAGACTTTTTGTTCTATTTATTTGAATTTCCAGCACTGTCATTGCAGATTCTTATATACCATAATAATCTCGACTGTCTGCATATTTCGGTTATCAGTGCCAAAATCCAATGGTAATTAGCAGATAATGGAGATTAATCTAAAAAATACATCGATCAAGGCTAAGCGACGATGACCATAATGACTATGCAAATCTTTGTCTGGAAAGCCCACCATTTTCATAGTGAAAGCGTGGAATTTGGACGAAGATAAGCACGTGTCAACCTAGCATAATATTTTTTTATAATCGGAACAGCTTCAATTATGTGTAATCGATGTCGATAACAATAGATAAACATAATCCCTTACGCGCGGTATTAACGTCTACTGCCTATTCATCGTTAATTAATATTGCTAGGTATGTCAAATAAATAATTTACTGATAATAATTTATGACAGATGACGGCTAATATTTTAGCACTGGTTTGACGCAGTATGTTAATTACATTACATTTTAGGCCAGGCAAACACGTGAGTCGAAATGACAAAATAATGAGCTTTATGTTATTTTGTGATATTTATGATGAATTATTAGCTTTAGCATTAATGCACTAATACACGAATAGGCTAATCTTATTAAAACTTGCAAAATCAGGTAGCTGGTGCATGAGCATGCACAATGTCGTTACAATAAATTCATTTGAGAATGTTTATACAATAATATAAAGGCCAGCGGCATTAAGTCCTCCTAATGTACACTTTGTGCATAAAGCATAAATAAATAAAAGCTGCTTAAACGATGAATCTTTAAAAGTCTATTAACCTTTTGAATGCACCGATGTAAGACACAATAGAAAATATATTTTGTCTCGCGTGGATCCACTGCTTAGACACACGAAAGGTTAGGTAAACAGTTCCCCAACAAAATTCAATACACAATATATACTGTTTTACTTTTATTACTTCATTATTCGGCAATGGCAAGAATAGATACCAAAGAATCAAGAAGTATCAAAATACGTAACATACTAAAGTCCTTAACATTTTGCATAGCTTTTCATATTTATGTAGGTGTCTAATAATTGTGTCATATTAGAGTACGATAAAATACTCTTTTTTCCACAATGTTTACTAAACTAGTGCCAGTCTGTAATAATATGCAAAACGATCAGAATAAAATGATCAGAATAACAAATGTAGGCACTGTTTAATGTTAATACACAAGTAATCACTTAAAAAATACGTCAGTTCAGCGAAAATTGATAGGAATTTTTTTGAAACAATACTATATTTCAATTTTTGACATCCACTTTGCTAGGAAAAGTACTGGACCGAATCAAATGAAATTTCGTATAGACATCGTACAATAACCTACCGAACTATAGGCTAACCTAGTATATACATATATACCGAACTATAAGCTAACACGTTACCCCATGCGTAGGTCACCGGTGACCTACGTTAGCAGAGGATTTGCCTTCAGCAGTTTCCTGTCGGCAGTCAAATGCATAATTACGCTGATTTTTTTACTTTAAAAGAAAAATTGTTATGTGCTGCAAAAAGTACTCTTAAAATCTAACTAGTTAGGTTAGTTAGATTTTAAGAGTTACCATGTAAGCGAATGCGTTCGATGTTGGAACAACACTGCTTTCTAATCTTAAAATTCAAAAAAAATAGTATGTAGGTTTTATTGTGGTTAAATCTAGTGGGGTGAACGATGATGTAGCGATTCGCAGCTCAGCAGTTCGAATAGAACAGTAGAACCTTCGTTGAATCAAAGTAGGTGTAATGTCCTGATTCAGCAGATCTGGGTCTGGTGACACGGCGTTGATCACGGTGTAGGTACATGTTTCGGCACCGATACGTAACATACCTACATATCGATTCTGATAAAAATAATAAATACAGAAATATGAAAAAAAAAAATAAGTATACTTATGTGCCCTCTTGCTCATATGGCTCATATTGCTCATAGGAATGAGTATATGTATTCGCTTTTAAAAAATGGCAGGTACTTTCAAAAAGGCTTTGTCATAGCAGGTGTCTACCCGACCCCTTACTAGCTGTACTTTACGGTCATAGCCGAAATTATTGCGATTTTATAGGTCCGTCATGTTTGTAAGTAAGTAGTACTAATTTTGACCGAGTTTACTGAAAGATCCTAAAAAACCTCTGTATAAAACAAAATTCTTCATTTTAATTTGGGTAACCAACTGCTATATCACAAAAAATAACAATTCAGGATATTTATGCTAATACAAAGCCAAATTATAGGTTTCCACGGCTGGTGGTGAGATTTCGTTTTCGTCTATCTGCATGAATTTTCTAACTATACAACACGTATTTAGTATAGCTGCTTTTTGCAATTTGGTGTGTTTGATCTATACTAATATTATAAAGAGGAATGATTTGTACCTATTTTTGTATGTTTGTAATGAATAGACTCAAAAAGTAATGGGCCGATTTAAAAAATTCTTTCACCAATAAAATGCTACATTCTTCCAATTTGACATAGGCTACATTTCATTTTGAAAAAAGTTAGGGATCCTTGGTAAAATTTGAACAATGTAACCGAAGGTGTAGAAAAATGAGTCTTAAAATGTCTTTCGTCGAATGCGCTGCCGAAACTATTAGCGATAGAACAAAATAATGTACAACAATATTGAAGAACATAATAATGTCTACAAAAAACTTCACGGTAGCATATGTCCAACTTTTGTAGTTATTTCACTACAACAATCCAAATTTCCAAAAATAAATAATTGTCTACCCCGTACGAAGCCGCTTTTCAGCTATTGTTTTTTATTAAATTGTGAGTGTTGGGGACGGCGATATCAATCAGGTAAGTGGTTTTATTTACATTGTAGAGTGATGTTAGCTCTATTAAAGTGAAGGGTTCTGTCTGTATTGCGCGATCGTAGTACATTTTGTGAGTGGAATTCTCTACTAAGTGTGTGTGTATCTGTTATGAGGTTGTGTTGAATGGCGAGTATCTGGTGCGATGTTAGCGACTTGATTGTGTCGATGAGTGTAATTTGTTTGTGTGAGATGAGGAAAGGCTCCAGTTAAGGAGTGATACCATGGCCTCATAGAAGATTGCCGTGAAGCAACGTTGTGTTGTGTTTCGTCGTGTAAGTGAAGTTACCAGAGGCCCAATTACCCCCCCCCCCTTTCCCCAATCCCAGAATCCCCAACGCCTCTGGTGTTCCAGCTGTCTATGGGCGACGCCGATTGCTTACCACCAGGTGATAAACGACGGCCGGTAAACGACCAGACGGATCACCGTCTGGTCGTTTACCGGCTTACCGCGTAAAAAAAATGTGCTGGATTGTCTCGGACTGTGTGACATTTCCTGCATTTGACGTTCGTGAGTATAGGGTCTTTGATTATGTATTTTCTGTAGTTTTTGTTTGATCCTAGATAACTATTATGAAGCCTTCTACTTCCAGGAAGAGCGTACCTATTTACTTGATGCTTCTTTATCTATGGGTTGTTGTTCGAGGTCGTTATAGTGTCGCCAGTGGAGGACTTTTTTCTGCCATACTTCTTTTAGAATTGCTTCTTGTTCGCTGGTTGTTGGAGTATTTTCTAAATAAGTTTGCTATATGTTAAGGGGTATATACCTATTGTCATTTGCTACTATTGCTTTATCGATACTACTGGTGAGAGGTTTCTGCTTAAAGAATTTATGAAACGAGTTAATATGCTTTTTCCACAGGTTATGAGGTTAGTTATGTATATGGGACCCCTACTCCGTTTTGTCGTTACATTGTTATTGCTGATGTTATTACTGACCATAGTCTGCGTATATATTTCATTGATTGATTGGGGACATACATAAAATGAGGGTTTACTTATTACTACATGCGTTTGTTAGTAGATTACCTACTCTTTGAATATGCTGCTAAAACCAACAAGATAACAACAATGTGATTACAAATTGTCTACTTAGTTCTTCTAACATCTGATAGATGTCACTCTCGTAATAGCGTTAATTCCGATATCCATAAAATTTTAATTAACTTTTAATCTATGATACTTAACTCTCTTTTGTTATTAGGAAATCATTATTTTAAACGTAAAGCTTGAGAGCGTTTTACCTACTGCAGAAACTTTCGTCTTATGCATTATGGATTCTGTTTTTACTGATTATAAGAAAAATATAAGTGATTGAAATTTTATTTATGAGTAGAATTTACTTATTGGGAGAACAAATAGAAGAAAGAGGTTGTGTTTTATGTGGTTACACCCAAAATTTTTGATAGAGCACAATTAAAGAACTATCCCTATATAATGCGTGAGAATTCAAAACTATGGGCATTTAATTGAAGAAATACAGCTTTTAACAAAAAATACGGTTAATTAAGGAAAAGTAGAAATATTAAAAGGAATCACACTTAGATATGGATTCAACACGAATCTCCGAACAGATAAATAAAAGGCCGAAGATATCGCAAAGATTGGTTTTTCCAATATCTACTTTTATGTACCTACTCGTCAATTTCATGACCTTGGATGAAATGAAACATTAATTGCAACTGTCCTTGATCGTGGCAATAAAACTGAGTGTCACTCAATAGATGATGACGTAAACTAAAACGTGCCCGTGTTATATTACCAAAACATACGTACTTACCTAGAGTCTGTATACAGGTTGCTCCAAAGTTTTGTAACTCAAGTTTTTGGGGGTAATTGCAAGAAGGCGACCATTCATTAATTTAAACTGTCAAACACCAAGCGATCACCGGTGACCGCAACCTATTGTTCTATAATTGTGTCTACAAAACCGGTACTCGACGAGTTAATATTTAAATACTTATACACTTTTTTCGTTGAAGATAAATTATTTCATGTTTTCTCCACTTCGATTTCATTGACTTATCGCGTATAATAACTGCCATCTTGGTAAGACGTGGAGACGAGACGTATTAACGATGATTCAAATTTTATGTAATTTCTAAGTCTGATGTAGGTAACCTGCAGCTATAGCCAAATGCTATTTAGCTACTTGTCTACTTGTAGAGTAGAAAACCAAATTATATGAAATTGACGTTAAATTTTGAAACTCGTCAGTGTCATCCCCATACCATTTAGTTTTCTACTCTCTCGATAGACAAGCGCTAAAGTGGCGGTTGGCTAAAGGCACTGTTTAGCAAAAAGAGTTTGTGCTATGACAGAAAGTAGAGAAAAGAAGCCATCTCAAATTTTAAAAAAATATTCACATAATTATGCATGAAGTACTTAAACATCATTAATAAAACTATTATGAGATTTAGATAAAAACTTAATCTATAGATGGATATTACGATTACTTTATCACATTAAACTTATCTCTAAGTAATATATCAAATAGCAATTATTCAAAGGACATTCCAACCACGAATGCTGTGGTGGTCAGTTTCCTAAGGACGCCACACATATCGTAAAATGGTAAATAAAAAAATATTTAAAAAAAATTCGTCTTCAAAATTGATGTTGGACCGGTCTCAAATAAGCACAGATATCATTTATGTGATTGTTTTTTTTAATAGGATTCAGACAACGTGGTGAATGTGGTTGCGAATGGAAGTCATGAGAATGCAGGATTTGATTCTCCTCCGGAGTATGATGACAGGTCCAAGAAACTCCCACCAGAGTTCAACGGTACAGAAAAGGATCTGCCTTCCGACTATCCCGAAAAAATTGTAGTAAGTGATAAACCTTCTCAATTGATTTCTTTGCGTATTGATTGCGGGTTTGCGGAGTGGTAAATATTTATTTAAAAAAATATATCGATAAAATTAGTAGGTACCTACCTAGTGCTTAAAGAATGAAATTAATAATAATCGGTAGTTTTTCGGTATTCAACAAAAAATGTTCTTATTTCCTTAATGTTTAAAGTTGTTGATAATCACATAAATAAAAGAAAATTAGTGGCAAAATTAAAAACTATGTAAAATATATACACATACGCCCGATGAAAGATGTTCAATGTGTGATTTTGTTGTATTTCTAAATAGGATATTCAACAATTGAGTACTCAAAACCCGATCACATTTCTTATAAAAACTCCGTAAGAGACACTTTTTCATTCGTCCGAATTGATTTCATAAAAAAATCGTATTAATTAAATACTACGTAAATTTAAAGTATTCACTGTGCGTATTAATGTCATTTTTGTTATTCTTTTTTCCAATTTTTGCAAGTGGTTAGTTTTTAAATTACCTAACAATGTGCAATGGCGCTAAAGCTTTATGAACAAGGTTGCACAAATGAGATCATTAGGTACTACTGATAAAGCTATCTGCTAATTGTCGATCACTAACTGTTTATATGATACTGAATTTTAGTTGGTTTGCCCTGGATAGACAATAATAATACAGGGTGTAAACGGGACACTTTCGAAATACGCCAACTAGTAACTAGTAATGGTAAAAAAACAAGTTTTATTATCATAAAAATAAAGAATTAAATGTTTATTTTATATAATAATAGTTGTAATCAACCGCTCAAGGCTGATGTTGCATAAATAGCACGTAAAAACGATTACAATTGTAATAACTATTTATTTACGTCAACATTTTTCGGTAGCGTACCGTTTGCACCCTGTATGAAATAACAAAGCTTCGGAATCTTCATTTCAAGTTTCAAATTTCCAATTTCAAGTTCAAATTTCAAGGCCATCTTCATCTCATAGCGTACTTAAGAACTAAGTAAATATGTAAACAACACTTGTTTATGTTGCTTTAACTAATTAGTAATTATCGGGACTATACCGGCGTTTCACAACTGATTAAACAATGATTGTACGCAATGGAATTTAGGACGAATGGCTGTTGAAACTTCAACAAATATACGCAGATATCTAAACGATTGAGTAATCAATTCGATAGGTACATTTTATAATTAAGTAAGTAGGTTTGCTAAAACGGGGTGACTTGGTACGGGAATGAGGTGAATAGATACTATGAAATATTACCTAATATCGATTCACAACTCGAATTACCGGTACTTATGTTAAATTTAACGTTTACAAAAAACAGTTGGTACTTACTTAATTGATTTAGCCTAATAGTCGAAAATATAAGGAAAATAAAACGAAAATGTTGACGTACAGTTTGTTCATTTATTAATGTAAATCAATTAGGACGCCACTGATAGATACCAACTGAAACCAACGAAAAAA